GTTCAAATCAGTAATAGTCAGCAGATTTGTTAGCAGCATAACTGCAGTTAATTGCAATATTCAAAAAAATCACTGGGCCATCACACACAAATGTCTGCAGGACAACTCTCCCAAAATATGTCAAACAGACTAAACGAGCCACCAGGCAAACTCCACAGCCCACAGCTCATTCTTTTTCTTGTGCCTACACTCTTCTCTCAGTGCATCTCTGTAATGGATCTGATCAAAGCACCTCCTCCCCCACCTTGTGGCCATGCATTTATCTGCCCACCACGGCCCCCCAGAAAACCAGAAACACTCCGTTGCAGCAACTTTAAAAGCCTCAGCTGTAGATTGTAACTGCATTAATCAACTCAGCCAGGGCACTCGAGCAAAGACAACTGCAGTCAAGGGCCCACTAATTCAAATCCATCCTAGGGAAAAGGCTTTGATCACCACTCAAGACAGTTACAGCACAGTGCCAGCACCAAAACATACAGTGCTGCTTATTATGCTGGGCACTCTCTTTGCTCTGGCTACTAAATTAAGTCATGGAAATCCTCCTTTAATAAAAGTCTTGACTGAACAAGACACTTACTATGTGCAGAAGCTTCAGGACATCCACAAACCTGATAAAAGAGAGAAACACGTCCGTTAGACAGCCACGGATTACAGTACAGATGCTACCTCGTGACTGAAGCACTTACACTTTCTCCGAGCTCATGATCTCCTGGGCGATGTGCACCACCTTCTTCCTCTTCATCTCGTCTTCTTGCTAAAGTTTCACAAAAAAAGACAAAACACAGACGGTCAGGACGGTGCCAGGGAGACGCCGGCGCCAAAACAGTTTAAAGTTAACTCACAGGTTCGCTGCAAATCACCATGATCACCGGTGCTGGTGTTTAAAGACCATTAAGGTTCTTTCAAACAACATAAAGCAGGAACCTTTCCCTCCTCTCTGCCTGTCTCCTCTCCCCATCTCTCTCCAACAGTGTGCTGTTGAATGGGAAAGGGGGAGGGGGGATTCTCTTTGACTTAATTTGGACGCCGGCCTTGGCCCCTGCTTGACCGAAATGGCCGACTGGTCCTATCGGAGCCTGTATTTGTGATACCCCGGCGCTCTGAGAGCCATCAGACACAGGTGCTGACAGTATTGACTCTTTCAGCCATTGAGGGAGCTATTCCTGAACCTGTAGCCCTTCTGTGTTTGCTCAACATCCCCCACTTTCAACACACAAACACACCCACTTCTGAAAAGCTTTTAAAGGCAACAAACACACTCGGCAGGATGCATGTGAGCACATAGCCTCCAGCTGCTGCGGTGACAGTTGAGTCACCGGGAGAGATACGAGTCGTCCGTTGTGACCTGTAAATGATCTGCCAGCTTCACATGCTGACATCATATTTTAAGAGCGCTTGGAGATGTTTTTCCATAGATGTTTCCCTGGAAATATGCTCACTTCAGCCCTTGTAATAATTCTGTAGCATTTTCCACTAAGTGTGAATAAAAACAGCCACTTTAAGACTATGGTTTCCGATTAGTGTGGTTGGGAATGAGACTAAAAATAACATTTCTCTGTTTTTCTTGTTTTAACCTCTTCAAGTGTCTAAAAACTACAAATAGTGGAGTCTTAGTAATCTTGCTATAGGTGATAGTCACCATTAATGTGACTATTGTGGCTCGGGCCACAGACTGTATATAAAAGAGGGATGGAGCCTCTAGGTCTAAAGAGGAATTAGTAGAAGTAGCTTCTGAATGAGCATGTCCCCTCTGAGACTCACCCCTGACTCGTGATGTTGGGCGAACACCAAATCGTTCAAGTGGACATGAAGCACTACATGTATAAAGGCTAATTTTCACCATGGAGCCTTGCTCTAAATTACTGTTTATAGCTTATAGTTTATGCTAGCTAACTAATAACAGAACTGGTAACACAGTAGAAAACCACAACACTAAAGCTAAAAAGCAGTCTAAGGCGGCCACTTTTTGCTGCCATAAAATTAACATAAAAGTCATTTTATGCAACAATGACTTTTATGGTAATAAGAAGCATATACTGTCCACTGCCACTCTCTGTCTTTTTAGCAAAAAGGGTTGTTTTTGTTTTTTTTGCTAGCTGCACTGAAACAGAAAAATCCACCTGTTATACTCTTAATGTTCACTTTTGTAAAGCACTTGAGGACTCTGTCCTGTCTTTCTCCCCTCATTCCCAACTGGTTTTGGCAGATGCCAGCCCCTGCCTGAGCCTGGTTCTGCTGGAGGTTTCCTACTGTTAAAAGAGAGTTTTTCCTTCCCACTGTTGCCAGGTGTTTGCTCATAGGGGGGGTCTGATTGACCAAAACAACAAGCTGAAGTCAAGACTGTGGACCTCTGTGGATCAGCAGATGTCCACGGAAGAGATCAGCATTATTTCATACAATAAAATGGTCTATCCAAACAGTTTACAACATGCGCATCACAGAACAAACAGTTTCTTAGCGAAGCACGATCGGGAATCTTGATATCCATCATGATGTCCACAGGGAAAACAGACTGATGTATTCAACGTAGGACCCCCCCCCCAAAAAAAAGCCAAACCCTCCGAGGAAGAGATGCCACACTTGTTGGAAACATTATCTCACTGAGTAGATAAAGTCATAATAGAATTGAGGAAAAATGAAGCCCAACTGTAAGTGAAGGAGAAAATAATCTCCAAGTTACAGTGCAGATTGTGGATTGTATTTTTTTTGTAACACAAAGGTGGTTTTTTTGTTTCTCAATACATATAGTGACTCCTGTCCACTTTAAAGTACTAATAGGTGACTTTGTGCAGTCACATCTTTTATATATAGTCTATAAGTCACAGTAGCTTCACCCGCTCCTTGAATAACAAGGAGTCACATGTCAATGTTTGATTGAAAGTAAACAAGGAAATCTTCCACTTGAATCAGACATTTTTCTAACTGCATTAGGACTGCATTCATTATATTTCATTATAGACATGGTCAGCTAGAGACCACCAGCTGAGTAGTGATTCCTGTTATACTTCCCTGAAAATCTACTCCAAGTCCTCCTCCTGGGCTGCAGTCATAGCTGGTGCACTGTAATGTAAGTTCTCCAGACGAGTCCACGTGGTCATGAAAACAAGCGGGCACACAGACGCTCACCCTCTAATGATGACATTTATGTTACTCTGAGGCGAAAGTATAAACGAGGCTTTAACCTATACTCAACTCCTGAGTGGACCGTTGTGTTTTCCTATCACATTCATATTCATTTATTCATTTGGGTCAACAGATTAAAAAAAAATCTTAATCTGTGAGTTAATGATTAATCCTGATCTCAGTATTATGATTTCGACATAACCAAGCTATAGTTTGAAGACATTAAAATGGGACCTCTTACACTACTTTCAAACTCCATATTTGTTTCTTGGATTGCATTGGAGATTTCAACATAGAAATTATTATATATTGTTATAATATAAAGAATATATATTATTCTTTATAGTTTTTTAAAGGTGAACTTTATGTTAACATTAATTGATGTATTATATTTATTAGTATATTTCATTTCCTGGAATCTACTACAGTAGCTTTGCATGACTAGTATTTTAAAATCATCCTCCTTTCTCTATTACTGAGCTGTGACACAGTTCTTAAGTTCTGAAACAAGCTTTTCAGCCCCTCCCCCTTTACCCCACATTTCTTCTGATTGGCTACCCCTCATAAATATGACCAGATTAGGCATATCCACTCTCTTTAACGTCATACAGAAGCAAGAGAAGGAAAAAAAATGGCTGAAAATAAGTGTTTAGAGCCTTTCGTAGCTGCAAAGACACTCTGCTGGAAGAATTTGAGAACCAAGACGTTTGACTGGATGTTCATTATAATAATTACACTGGTGAAAGCATGAGGCATGATGGTAAGTAAATATTATAAATGTTTATGGATTGTGGTATCAGAGTAACATGCATGGAAATGATCAGTCATCAGGTACTGGGAGAAGTTTCAGTTTAAATTCAACCCTAATTACTTTATTGCTCACATTGAGTCATTTTATTGTCTGAATTCCCCTGATGTTACAGACGGAGTTTCATTATAGTACCTGTCTGTCTGCCTCGTCCAAGTGCTCCTTGCTAGAGGTGGAGCTGTTGTCCTCGTCATCTGAGCTGTGGATCTCCTCCTCCTCAGAGTGGACTTCCTGGATGAGGCAGCCGCTATTCGCCCAAACACAGACAGACAGAGATTAATTTAGCTTTTCTTAACAGGGAATGTTTAAATCTGTGAAAGGGAAGCAGGGCAGGGCTACAGAGTGGTGTGTGAGTTCAGAAAAACCCTCCTTGGATAAATAAAGATTAAGGAAGCCTTGTGCAATAAGGGGGCCTAGACAAATTTAACACGCATATTTACTCATAGAAGTATGTGAGTCAAGACCGACACTTCTTCAGAGGTTTGGTATAACGGAAAATACTGATGAATACAATTAGACAATATTTTGGGTAGTCATGCAGACAGCGGTTAGGTAGGAATTGAAAATGAGGGGACGCCAAAAAATGTGTCCACAAAAAAAAGAATAAAACAACCAACTACTAGGTCTGGAGGTCTTCTCCAGGTCAAAGACCTTCACAGACACACTAATACACCACAATAAATCCCACTGCACTTTGATCATTTTAATACTGTTAATTTATTTTATTTACAGATGAGTTAATACAAGAAAACAACTGCATAATTTTTCCATATTTGCATATTAACAGATTATGGTATAAAATGCATCAGTAGTTTTAAGTTGCATGGATCGCAGATTTATCCGTTTTTTGTGAATATAAGCTGCTGACTGGTGAGCAGAATTTTCAGCTTGGTACGTTAGTGTTCATCAGTTAATCATAAAACATATTTAGTGCTTATAACAAATATATTATGCTAAATAAAGACAGATTTTTCCACAATGTATATGATAGTAAGAGTTAGTAAACCTCTATTAAAGTCTCCCTCTGCAGTCTGTTGTTTCTTAGATTCAGCATTGAAACGGAATTTAAAACAAAACATAGATGACATTCTGTCGCCTCATCAACCACCAAGATCTCACTGCCTACAGACATTCAGTAACTCTCATTGGATAATGTTAATAAATATCTTTCACTAAATATGAACGTTTTCTACCTGTCCTTGTTTAAATTATGAAAGAAATTATTATGCCTGAGAATCTCTAGAATGTCGAATACTTTCCACTAAACAGTTGTCTTCTACTTTGGTTAGTTTTTTTAACAACCATTTAAAAAACATATTTTGCTTTTGTTTTATTTTTTACTGCAATTCCTGTAGAGTAGCTTTTATAGTGTTAATTCAGTATGTGCTACAAAATAAAAGCCTTTCCTTTACATTAGGTTTGTGGGCATTTTATTTTGAATTGTTCCAATCATGGCACTTCAAAGGAACAGCGCATCACAGGAACAGCCTGTGATGTCACAGTGCACATTCTACTGGAAAACCCTATAAATAGGGGAGACGTTCAACCGACTTTAGTGGATCTCAGATGGCAGAAACACAAAGCAACCTGGTTGTTAAAACAAAGACAAGGCGGACGCAGAGAAACGCAGACGCACACGCTGACGCATCTACAATGGCAGAAGCAAAAATAGAAATGGTCATCACACCAAAACCTGAGGTTGATAAAGCCGCACAACCAAATACTAAAAAGTCTCCTGTGGCACAACCACCAAAGGAAACGGTTGTGAAACCAAAGAAACCAAAAAAGCAAAAACAGAAAAGAGTGGCTGAAGAACCAAGAAGAGCAATTACTCGGGCATATGCCCGGGCTCTTCTTGAAGCTCAAAACAGCACGGCTGATGGAGCAAACCCAAAAAATGAAGAAATGCTCCCCATTTCAAATGCAAAGGAGGACATGGAGAGAGAGAGAAATAGGAAGAACCCCAGCAGACCAAACCCTGTGCCTAATGGAGGGACTTGGGAATATCAACCCATTCCCACATTTAGACCCCCGTTTAATCCCTGGCACGAGATTGCTGCTCTCAGACACCAACTGGAAGCCTCCCAATACCATCAGAACGACCTTTACGGTAAAATGGTAGGTGCAAACAAGAGGGCCTCTTATCACCAGCTTCAGGTGAACAAACTTCGTGAAGAAATTCACGAGAACGAGAAAAATCACGAGGAAACGATCAAAGGCCTCATAGAGCAGCTGGAAGAGGCTTCTAGTAATAAGCCCTATGACATCAGTGAGACAGACACTCTCGTGAGTGACAATGAAGCTATGGTCATATTGGATGAGGTGATTGCTACCCTGCAGGACCAAATCAGCCACCCTACCACAGAGCAGTGTGTGGAGTCTGCCACTCCAACCACAGAGGCTTCACACACTGACTCTGTAGGACTGAAGTCCTCTAAGGAGGCTGAATTTGAGCTCAAATGTAGGATTCAGCAAGAGCAGATTGAGATGCTCCAGAAACAGCTCCTAGCAGCTCAAAATCAGCTTGAAGAGCAGGCCGTTAAACATAGGCAGGAGCAGGAGACACTCAACCTGGAAATCAGTGACCTGAAATCCCAGCTCTGCCCCAACAAGGCCCTTCATGATTTGAAGCTAGAGTCTCTGGAGCGAGAGCTGAAAGGGGCCAAAGCTTCCTCACTTAAAATCCCACAGCAGCACAAAGAACAAAATTCCACTGCTGCAAATGAAATGCACAAATTTGAGCTTCCGAAAGAAAACGAGACTGGACAACAGGAGAAGATGGAAAAAGAGGACTCACTGCCATCCACTGCAAGGTCTCTGCAGGAGCCTCAGAAAGAAAAAGACACCACAGAACAACAGAAGATAGAAAAAGAAGAGTCAGCTGCATTTTCTGTACAGGAATCTTTGCAAAGTGTACAAGACAAACAGAAAATGCTCAATGTCAAGGTGGCTGAACTCAAGACTGAAGTCAAGAGCCTGCCAGAGAATCCGCCAAGTAAGAAGAAGAACAAGAAGAAGCGGAACTGTGCGCGTCCCCAATTTCACATAATTGGTGTCAACATCAAGTCCTAAAAATCATATTTATATACAACTAAATTGTCAGTGAACATTTGAACCCCTCTTGGTCAAGACAGAAGGCCACCCCTTCCTGAGCCCGGTTCTGTCAGAGGTTTCTCCCTATTAAGAGGGAGTTTTTCCTCTCCACTGTCGCCAAGTGCTTGCTCATAGGGGATTTGGGGGCTTTTTTTTAACACCAACCACTGAAAAGTTCACTGACATCAAATTTAAGACTCAGCAAATATGGAAATGGATCATTCGTCATCAAGTGAGGAATCATCCATTTAAAAACATGTTTGCTGAGTCATATTTAGTTGTATATAAATATGATTTCTGTCACACTAAGGCCAATCACAGACTAATTTGGACAATTGGTAAAAAATAAATAAATTGAAAAAATTGAAAAAAAGTAGTTGTGTCATTGTTTCGTGTAGATTTCAAATAACATGCCATTTTATGTCAACATATTTCTGTTACATTTGTAGTGCTCGTGGTTTTATATTCTTATGATCCTGTTTGTTTGATGAGTATATCCTTCTGCCTTACTTCACATATTTACTGCTGCTTGGCTAGCTTTAGTCATGCTAGCATCAGCACGGGTAGAAACAGATACACATCAGAGACATCACATGTAGCTTGTGTTTATGTTCAGAGTGACATCTGATTTAAAAGCAGGCAGCAAAGCACTGAGCAGCATATCAGTCAGCACAGAAAACAAATGCCATAAATGTCATCAATTAGGCTGGAATAATTTGTTTCTGGTGGCTTCTATTGTAAGTGCTTTACATTTCAGCATGGCATCCTGTATGTGTCCTACACTGAGGACACTTGAAACTGGTCATTTTCTTAGAATGGAGCTAAAGATAAAAACAAAACAAAACCAAACTTTCATAAGAAATCTTTATTCTGCAGTAAGGGACATTAAAAACCTAATAATGTTATCATTAAAAATATTAAAATGTGAAGTAAGAGCAAAATGTATGTTTGATACATTCAGTCATTTCATTTCAGTAGGTAAATAGTGTAAAACATATTTGCTTATATAGGAAATATCTGTTACACAGAGTGGTGATAGCATGACTCGTTCAAGGTAACAGTGAATGAGCAACAACTGGACTTAAATACATAAATAGCCCTTTTTGAACTAGAAGTCATAGTCATACATTTCATTCACACCCAAATGCATTGGGGACAATCGAAGGTTCAGTATCTTGCCCTTTGACGTGTGGACTGAAGCACTGATTAGTACACATAGCCACAGCTGCCCAACATAAATGATTCCATGTTGGTTAAAGACCAAATCAATCAGCTGCATATACACTGCAAAAACTCAAACTCTTATCAAGTATATTTGTCTTGTTTCTAGTCAAAATTTCTCATCACACTTAAAATACGAGAAATCAGCTACAGAGTAACATTTCAGTGAGATATAGGAACTTGTGAAAAAGTCTTGAAGATAAGATAAGATAACCTTTATTAGTCCCACACGTGGGAAATTTGTTTGTCACAGCAGGAAGTGGACAGTGCAAAAGTTATGACGCAAAAATTAGAATACAATAAGAATAAATACAGTACACAGCTGTACAGAATAGAATAAAATAAAATACTATATACAGTAGAATAAAATAGAATAAAAATATACAATAAGATAAAAATAGAATACGAATGCTATATACAACTGAGTAAAAATACAACGATGCCAGAAAAGATTATTGCACTTAGTGTTATTGCACATGTGTGGATGTGTGTGTTTGTTCAGTTAAAGTCTTTGTTGTGGAGTCTGACAGCAGTGGGGAGGAAAGACCTGCGAAATCTCTCCGTCCCACACCGTGGGTGCCGCAGTCTCCCACTGAAGGAGCTGCTCAGTGCTGTCACAGTCTGCTGCATGGGGTGGGAGACGTTGTCCAACAGGGATGACAGCTTAGCCGCCGTTCTCCTGTCACTCACCACCTCCACTGGGTCCAGAGGGCATCCTAGAACAGAGCTGGCCCTTCGGATCACCCTGTTCAGTCTCTTCCTGTCCCCAGCAGAGATGCTGCCGCCCCAGCAGACCACACCATAAAAGATAGCAGAAGCCACCACAGAGTCATAGAAGGTCTTCAGGAGTGGGCCCTCCACCCCAAACGACCTGAGTCTCCGCAGCAGGTACAGCCTGCTCTGCCCTTTCCTGTAGAGGGCGTCTGAGTTATGAGTCCAGTCCAGTCTGTTGTTCAGATGAACACCAAGGTACCTGTAGCTGTCCACAGCCTCAATGTCCATACCCTGGATGTTCAGTGGTTGCAGTGGAGAATGCTTGTGCCTGCGGAAGTCTACCACCAGCTCCTTGGTTTTACTGGCGTTGATCTGGAGGTAGTTCAGCTGGCACCAGTCCACAAAGTCTTGAGTCAGTCCTCTGTACTCCTTGTCGTCCCCATCAGTGATGAGGCCGACTATTGCAGAGTCATCAGAGAACTTCTGCAGGAAGCACTGGGTGGAATTGTGGGAGAAGTCTGCAGTGTAGATGGTGAAGAGGAACGGAGCCAGAACCGTTCCCTGTGGGGCCCCCGTACTGCAGACGACCCTGTCCGACACACAGCCCTGAGTCCTCACATACTGTGGTCGGTCGGTGAGGTAGTCCAGGATCCAGGTAGTGAGGTGATGGTCCACTCCAGAGTTCACCAGCTTGTCCTTCAGAACCGAGGGAAGAATAGTGTTGAAGGCACTGGAGAAATCAAAGAACATGATTCTCACAGTGCTTCCAGCGGTCTCCAGGTGAGCGAGGGAACGATGTAGGAGGTGAATGACGGCATCATCCGCTCCAATGCCAGGCTGGTAGGCAAACTGAAGTGGGTCCAGTGATGAGCTTGTTAGGCGCCGAAGCTGAGCCAGGACCAACCGCTCCAGGGTCTTCATCAGGTGGGATGTCAGAGCCACCGGCCTGTAGCTGTTGAGGTCCTTGGGGCGTGAAGTCTTTGGCACTGGTACAACACAGGAGGTTTTCCAGAGCTGTGGGACTCTTCCCAACCTCAGGCTCAGGTTGAAGATGCGCTCCATCACCCCACACAGTTGGTCCGCGCAGGACCTGACGACCCTCGAGCTGATGCCATCTGGGCCCGCTGCCTTCTTGCCATTAATCCTCCTCAGTTCCCTCCTAACCTGGGTGGTTGAGAGAGACAGGCTGGAGCCTTGTGTTGAGTGTGTATTGGATGCTGTTGTTGGGGGTGGGGGGAGTGAGCAGGGTGAATAGAGGAGGTGTGAAGTGTCTGAGGTGTCAGAGGTGGAACAGCAGCAGTGGGGGTGGGTGAGTCTGCAGCCAATGTTGTAGACTGTCTCATGGTTGAATCAAATCTGTTGAAGAAATGATTCAGTTCATTTGCCCACCTCACATCCCTCCCAGGCAGAGAGTTCTGCTGTTTGTGGCCTGAGATGGTTCTGAGGCCTCTCCAGACTTCACCAACGTTGTTTTGCTGAAGCTGGTTCTCCATCTTCTGCCTGTAGCTGTCCTTCCCATTCCTTATCAGTCCCCTCAACTCTCTCTGCACCCTTTTCAACTCCTCTTTGTCTTTGGATTTGAAGGCCCTCCTCTTCTGCTTGAGGACAGCTTTAATTTCTGGGGTAATCCAAGGTTTGTTGTTGGAGAAACACCGTACAGTCCTGGTAGGTACGGTGTTATCCACACAGAAATTAATATAGTCAGTAATGCATGTAGTAAGGCTGTCGATGTCCTCTCCATGGTCGTCACAGATCACCTCCCACACAGTCGACTCAAAACAGTCCTTAAGAGCCTCCTCGCTCTCCTCTGACCATCTCTGCACTGTGCGGGTGGCTGGTGGCACCCTGCGCACTAAGGGCTCATACACAGGGACAAGGTGCACCAGGTTGTGGTCAGATTTGCCCAGTGGAGGGAGAGGTGATGAACTGTATGCCTCTTCAGCATTGGCATACAGTAAGTCCAGTGTTTTATTGTCTCTGGTTGAGCAGGTCACATACTGGGTGAAGGTGGGCAGTGTGGAGTCCAAAGAGGCATGATTGAAGTCCCCTGATATTATGAGAAGGGCTCTCGGAGATTGTGTTTGCAGTCTGCTGACCACTGAGTGGAGAGTGTCACAGGCTGCATCCGCGTTGGCCGAGGGGGGACATACGCTGTTATTGCGATAACATGCGAGAATTCCCGGGGCAGGTAGTACGGACGCATGCTAACGGCTAACAGCTCAATGTCTCTGCTGCAGAGTTGTTCTTTCACAGTGATGTGCCCAGGGTTACACCATCTGTCGTTCACAAAAACTTCCAGTCCCCCTCCTTTCCTCTTACCGCTGTCTCTCGTCCTGTCCGCTCGCAGCATCTGAAATCCCGGTAGTGTCACGCTTGTGTCCGGAGTTAGCGGTGTTAGCCACGACTCCGTTAGCATCATGATGCTACATTGCCGGTACTCCCTCTGTGACCAGGTTAGCGACGTGAGCTCATCCATCTTATTGGGCAAAGATCTTACGTTTCCAATGATTACAGAAGTAAGAGATGGTCGATAACGTCTCCTTCTCGGGCGACGGCGCTCCTTCCCAGCACGACACCCCCGTCTTTTCCTCCTCAGCTCGCTGGGAATGTCGGGTCTGTCCGCCGGCAGTACCGCTGCGGGACGCAGCGCTAACAGCTGATCCTTACTGTAAACAAAGGATCCCTGCTCTGGTCCCCAGACACGCGTGAAAAAAGTAGAAATAAACTAAGAAAAACGACCAGAACTAGCACAAAACGGTAGAACATGGTTGCAGAAAACATAAAACATATTGTTTTATTTTATTGTTTTATTTTTTGTACCTTTTAACATTTCACAAAGTAAACTTGTTTTGTATTATGAACACATGTTTTTGTTGGCTGGTTAGAGTTGCATGGATCGCAGATTTATCTGTTTTTTGTGAATATAAGCTGCTGACTGGTGAGCTGAAGTTTCAGCTTGGTACGTTAGTGTTCATCAGTTAATCATAAAACATATTTAGTGCTTATAACAAATATATTATGCTAAATAAAGACAGATTTTTCCACAATGTATATGATAG